ACATCAAATAAAATGAAAATAATGTAGAAGGGAAATATGGCAATAATAATAAAACGAAATGAAACGCTTTGGCTGACATGTGCCCATCAGCAGTAGAAGAAAAGCTGCTCAACGCAAACATGGCTCCAATTGAATGATGCAACAGATTGTCAGAATATTTAAGACGTAACACATTTATTTTTATTTTTACAGCGATGAAATTTTTAGTATTGTAACGTTTTGTAATCAAATAGTAACAGACAAAAAGAAAATAATAGAGAGTTCACTAGAATGTAAAAAAGAAATTTCATACAATGTTTTCTTTTTTAATTTTAATATTTCCGTGGGCTTAAAGTGTTTTATCCAGTTTAGAAAGTAAAAATATATGCATACATATGTATGACCGAGAGCTTAAAATTAAAATTTAATAAAGATTTTATTTGGCAATTCTAGCATAAAAAAGTGCAAGTTTTAGTTGACTGACGGTGTCACTCATTTTCTTCTATAACAAGTATTAAGGTGTCTACACACCTAAGCGATTCTGTCGGCGCGAATCTATTCCGACAAAAATTACAACAATGCCGACCATAGTTTTAATTGAGGAACCACACACTTGTACGATTTTGCTGCAGCGACTTATTCGAACATTCACAGTTCTTCTTTTGGTCGTGCCGAAATCGCAGACTGTCGCGTTTTCAGAACGAAAAAAGGTCAATGGAAGGATTTTAAAATATTAAAGCAGAATTGAACGCAAGAAAACAAAACAAATTTGATGTGAAAAAGATAAGAATTTTATTTTTGTTGAAAAATATTTTTTGTTTGTCAATAAATTGACAGTTTTTACTGCGATAAAATCGCACAGATGTGCGCGTACTTACGTTTTCGAAGCAGTAACGTCTGCAGCATCAAAATCGGTGCGGGTTCGTTGCGACAGAATCGCATAGGTGTGTGGATGCTTTTATGTCCACTAGGGCGGAGGTATACGTTCGGAGCAAAATTTTAGGTGAAAGTGTATGTATGCAAATTCAAATTCCACGATTAATTCTAAGAAAAAAATGGCGACCAAACTATATACCAAAAGTGACGTTTAACCCTCCCAATTTTCAAAAGAAAAATAAGTATATTGTAACTTTTTTGGTCGAAATTTATTTTTCTTTGTAACAAAGCATTTTTTACGAAATTAACAAGCATAACGAACTTGTGAAATAGTTTCTT